CTGAATCTTGGAACCATCAAATCTCTGTTGGCAGGGTTTAAACTGGACTGACTGTAGAGAGGGATAGGGACCCTCTGTGAGAGTCCAAATTGCCTAGCAAATTATGCAGGGCAATAGGGCTTAGAGATGCACTTATAAGTTCTGGGGTTCATAGTACCAATGAATAGTTCCATTAGGATCAAAATAGAAGCCTATATGTTTTTGTGCTGAGGCCTAGAGAAGGACCTATCACTCAAAAAGGTCCTCAACCAGGCTGGGCCAATATTGGTAGCTTCGAAGGGGCAGAAAGTGTGAGAAGAAGGAGAAGCTGGAAGTTGGTAAAAGAAATAAAAGTAGAAAGCAAAGTTGGAAGGATAAAGTGAAACATTGACTAACTTCATACTATGAGTGGTAGGATTTGGCATTAAAAACTTTAAACATTTAGACTGCAAATCAGTGAAGTACGCAAAAAGTCAGAGTTGGAGTATCCAAAATGGGCCTCCTTGATTGGCATCCATGGGTTTTTCATAAAAGAGGGAACAAGCTTTATAGACATGACCTAACACATATGGAGCTAAGGCCACCTTTTTATGCAAAACCAAGGTCTTGGCAAGAGGGGCAAATTCAGGAATGATCCTCTGAGAAGAAGTACAGAAAAGGAATTTGCAAAGCCAATACAATAGTTTGGACCAATGGGAGTACCAATAGGGGATAATCCTAACAGATAATAGATGTCAATGACAGTAGGAGCCATCATCCCACATCTAAATTGGAAGAAGTTCAAAGGAGAATTTCAAAAACAAAGAGCAGCAGGTATTAAAAATAAGTCCTCTGAAATGGTGAACCTGGACAATTGAAGGGCGTCGAAGAGGCAAAGCTCCTGAAGATCCAGTGTCCTAGTAAGGACGACCTGATCATACCATTCCTCCTATTCTGGCCTTATTGTGGGCCAGCAGCGACAGGATCGGTTCATCTTCCAGCTTCCCCAATCAAGATCGCCTTCATAAAAGAGGCAATGATCCTCCAGACGCGGATATAGAGCTGGAAGCTTAGTGGGGATCTCTTTAAAAATAGGCTCAAGCACATATTCTTGTTGTTCATGGCGGCGGGGAATGAAGATGCGCCCATCAATAGCACTTTTCTCACCAGCCTTGTATTTCTCACACTCTTCAGCAATGATCCTTTTTAAGGCTACGGATGGACTCACACGATCCGTGACTGGTATCTTCAAGGAGGAAGAAGCCATTGACAGGAGTTTTTAGAAAACTAAGTTGAGAAAGAGGGTAAGGGAAAAAAGAAGTCAATAGAGATGAAGGGTTTGTGTGTTGGGCGAGCAAGTGAATTAAAAGCACGAAATAAAAGGGTTTTTAAACCTTTCTGTCCGAAAAATACCCAATTGTTTTAAATGGGTAGAATTCATAAAGAAGTACTGAAGGTACGAATACGAAAAGTTTCTCTCAATGTTGATAATTTGGGAGGGAAACGTATCTCAAATACTTATATTGGCTTCGAAATCAAATATTTGGCTTCGAAGCCAAGCTTTGGCTCCAAAATTAGGTGATAAACATCCAGCTAGAGCTTCGAAAGCAGAAAGTTGACTTTGAAGCACATTTCACACCTAAGAGTACAAGAGTGCTCAGGTATTTGTTTACTTCAAGAGGATTAAAGACCTACTTTTAGGTTTCTTGTTGAAAGTAAAATCCTTTGAAGTAAAATTTGAAATACTCTGCAGTTGGAATTTGTTTGTTCTAGACTTTTAAGTGACATAAAACCAATATTTGGTTAAGCAGTGAAGGACACAAATGGAATCACTTTTTTAGAATAAAACAGTGCAATCCTTAAGGGAAGTTTCCATACTTCAGAAAATGTAAACTGTTTATTCTAAGCAACAATAGTTGATTCGAAACTGTTGATTGTGTTAAAGCATCTCCAATGGATGGCTAAATCAGCTACCAAAGCCATAATATAGCAGCTTGGGCAATCTTGGCTTCTCCAATGGCATGCTATAACAGCTGCCAAATTTGGCAACTGCCAAATCATGTACCAAATTTGGCAGCTACTTTGGCAGCTGCCAAATCTGCCAAGTCACCCAAAATGAAACTGTTTCCTTCCTTCCCCCATTCCCTTTCAGTTGGGATTTTCCAGAATGCTTGAAGTTTTTTATAAAAGAAATGAAATCCACCATGTCGTTTAAAACAGAAATCATTACAAATTAATCAGAATGAATTCCAGAATGTTTGAATTTCAGTAAATACCAAATTAATCATCTTCAATACTAGATTTCTTTTCTTTTTTTTAATTCATTGGAAACTAAAGCAAAACAAGGAACAAGTCCCAGATACAAAACAGAGAGATACTAGTCTCTTATCACACTACAACCAATCATGTCTTCAATAATCAGGAAACTAGTATTGAACTATTGAGTATCTTCAATACTAAATTTCAGCAATACCAAATTCATCTTAAAAAATTTCAGCAATATGAACAAGAATATCAACAGATTTCAGAAATACCAACAGCAATACCAAATTAATTTCAACAATATCAGCAAATCAACATATTTCAAAAATACCAACAGATTTAAAAAATTTCAGCAATATCAACAGGAATACCAACATAAATAATCTCAGATTAATTTTTCAAATAATCCATTATGAGTTTTGGAAGAAAAATACCTGGATTTGAAAGCCGAATTTACACTAATTTCTCCAATATTCATCTTCTTCAGAAAGCCAAATTGAAGTACTGTGACCAATGAGGTTGGAGAAGAGGGTGGAAGATAGGGCTACGGCTTCGAAGGATAGGTGAATGGGGGGGTTTAGGGCTTCGAGGGATAGGGATAGGTGGATGATCTGGTGGTGGTTCTGGAGAAGGAGAGAGACAGACAGACAGACAGACAGCTTCGGATGAGAGAAGATGGGGGGTGGATAAGAGAAGGTTGATCCGAATATGAAGATGAGAGAGTTTCATCAATCCAAAAATGAAGATGAGAGAAAGTCTCATCGATCTGAAAATCATTGACCCGAAGATAAAGTTCATCCGAATCTCAATGATCCGAAGACGAAGATGAAGTTTATCTGAAGCTCTCTCTTTCTCTCTCATCTTCACTAATTTGAAAAGAGTGATGAAGTTGATCTGAAGCTCTCTCTTTCTCTGATCTTCACTGATCCGAGAAACAGGGGGAGAGAGAAGGTGAGAACCAGGGAGAGAGAGATGAAGACGGTGCGAATGAAGGAGATAGAGGCAAAAGTGATGGAAGAGAGTGATAAAGAAAGATAAGAGGATTGAGACACAGACGGACCAAAGTGTGCTATTTTGTTCAATGGGCAGAGACACAGAGATGAGAAGATAGAGACACACAGACAGATGATTGATCTCAGACGTTGATTAATAACAATCCAACGGCCGAGATCCAAGTGTGCTACTTTATTCATTAAAAATAAATAAAAATTAAATAAAAACATAAGTGAAGCATATCCATAACAGATATAAACGGTCCTATTTTTATGTTAAAACGACTATAAAAAAAAAACGGCTCTTTTTTTTTCTATAAATACAAACCTTTTCTCCTCTCTTTTTACTTGATTTCATTTCACAACAAACTTTCTAAATTACATTTTTATTTATATTTTCTTTACACAATCGGTATGGAAGGTTCATCAAAAATAAAGAGAGGAAAATCATTCACCATTGCTGAAGATATGACACTTTGTAAAGCTTGGTGTCACATTTCTGAAGACCTGATTATTGGCAATTCACAATCTTATACTCACTTTTTAGGGAAAATGTATGAAAATTATTACTCCCTTCAGAATGATCAGTCAAGAACACAAGTTTCTATCCAATCTCAATGGGGTACAACCATGAAATGTTCTAACAAATTTCATAGATATTTAGCGCAAGTCGAAAATCTACACCCAAGTGGGATGTCTCAAGTTGATCTAGTAAGATTTCATCTTCATTTATTACGTTAGTTTTTTTATTTTATTTTATTTCGTCTCATATAAAAATTAAATAATTGCTTAATTTAATATTTTATTGATACAAATGCTTCAAGCAAAACTTTTATACCATCAAGATGAAAAGAAACATTTTGCTTTTGAACATTGTTGGTCAATCTTGCAAAACAATATCAGGTGGCAAGATGTAGCTCCTACAATCACGGTGAAGTCAAGGATACATACACCGTTTTTCCCTGATTTAGCCCTCGATTCCCCTATGGATAACTACATTTCTCTTGAAGATGACACCAGTCCAAGTGTTGGTAACAATCCAACTGTCGATGAGGGCAGTGTCTCTACACGGAGTAAAAGGCCTATGGATAGGAAAGCTTCAAAAGAATTATTTCGGAGAAATCAAGTGGTTGAAGCTGAAGTCCAAAAAATGAGCATACAATTGGAGACATTTAACCAACACCTTGCTGAGAAGAAAAAGAAAAAAGATGAAAGAGAAGAAAAAATGATTCAAGTATTGCAGGAAATGAAAGAACTTGAGATCAGAAAAGAAGAACAAGAGATAATGACTACAGACATTTCTCTTTTGGACCCTCAGACAAAAGCATATTACACAATGCGAAAAAATAAGATTTTTGCTAAGTGGTCCTCAAATGTCAGCAACCCAAATTACTATTTTCTCATGCCTCCTGATAAATAATTACGGGATAATGTATTTTTAAATTTAGCAATGTCATTTAATTTTTGATGTAACTGTTAGTCTTTATTTGCAATGTAATTTTTAATTTGTAATGAAATTTCATGTTTTTATTTTTTATTTTTTAGTATTTTCTACAAAACAATGTAATATTATTTTTTCAATGTATAATGTTGAGTAATTTGTATTATAATTTAATTTTTTCAATAAAGTATAATGCAAAAAAATAAATATATTTTTTCATGAAGGCAATAAAAAGATAAAATACATTAACTGACATTAAATGAAGATAATTTTATTATAATAAAAAGACATTAACTAACATTAAATGACATTAACTGTCATTAAAAAGATAAAATACAAACTTAATCCTACTCTCCAGCTCGGGACCACAACTGTGCAATTAGATCATTACAAATTGCATTATGGGCTTCAATAAATCTAATCCTTTGCCTATTTAACACAAATTGAGCATACTCCTCATTCGAATCGCGTGACACTTGACAACGGGTATTGCTGGTATCAATCTGAAGTTGTGCTACACTGCGTTTATTTTCTGGAATATCACGCTCGTCTTCAATGATCATATTGTGCAAAATAATGCACATCTTCATGATGTAGTACAGATCCTCATCACTCCAACCTCTAACTGGAACTCTGAGAATATTAAATCGTGCTTGGAGCACTCCAAACGCCCTTTCGACATCTTTCCGAAATGCCTCATGCATTCTCGCAAATAGTTGTCTCTTTGTGCCTTGATGTTGAGATATTGTTTTCATAATCATTGCCCAACAAGGATAGATACCATCTACAAGATAATACCCCATGGTGTACGCGTGATTATTGATGGTGTAGTTGGCAGTAGGGGCACGTTCTCTAGTTAATTCAACAAATAAAGACGACCTGTCAAGAACAGTAATATCATTTAGAGAGCCAGGCATGCCAAAGAAAGCATACCAAATCCATAAGTCATAGGAGGCAACTGCCTCGAGTACAACTGTTGGTTTATGGTAGTGTCCAGTGTAAGCATTGGCTTGGGCAATTGGACATTTATCTCAACGCTAGTGCATACAATCCAAACTTCCTAACATTCCAAGAAACCCGCATTGCTCTCCCTCTTGCAATAATCTGGCGATGTTTGCTTCATTTAGAGATCTTAAGTAAACGGCTTCATACGTAGCAACAATTGATCTGGTAAAAAAATTCAAGGCAGAAATTGCAGCACTTTCGTCGCTTCTAATGTACTTGTCTACAGCATCAGCAGGCACGCCGTACTGCAGGATCCAAAGTGCTGCAGTTATCTCCTGTACACCGGTTAATCCAAAAGCACCAGTGGCATCACGACTTTGAATGAAGTACTCATTCACTTGTTGAATATCATGTAAGATACTAACAAACAATGACCGCCTCATTCGAAAACGTCTCCGGAAGTATTCTTCTGGATAGACAGGATTATCTGCAAAATAATCTCTATAAATTTGTTCGTCGCCTTTGACCCTCACACAATTAATGTATCGATGACCACTTATGGAACCAACACGTATGGTTGGTTGGTTTAGGCTTAACGTCTGTATTCTTTGTTGTTGCGGTGCGAATAGTTGCATCATGATGATAGCATCATCAGATAATAAAGATTCATCAAAATTTCCATTGAATATGGCTTTAGTCAAATTGTTCATTGTAGGTGGATGGGTGAGTGGGTGAATATGAAAATTGTAGAAAATCTGCTGGGTGGGTATATAGAGTTTAGAAGATATGAAAATGATGGATAGGTGAATATGAAAATTATAGAAAACCTTGTGTTATATTTATAGAGAAAATGTGAGTGGGTGGATGAATAATGGATGGTTGTTGGGTGGGTAGATGAATAATGGGTGGTTGTTAGGTGGGTGGATGAATAATGGATGGTTGTTGGGTGGATAGTTGTTAGCGAATGAATGTTGGGTTAATAATGGATGGTTGTTGGTGGTTGGTTGTTGGTGGGTAATTGGTGATTATTTATTTTTTATGTGTAGTTAAAAAATTTATTAAATATGTAGTGATATGTTTTTTGGTGGGGTGAATTAATCAAACAATTTTTTTTTTCCAATTTTTCATTTTTTTTTTATATTTGTCTAGTTGGAAATAATATAAATATATAATTTTTTTAACAAACAGGTAAAAAAATGTTACAAAAGACAAAAAATAAACAAAAATAAAATCACAAAAAAACCTATATCCAAACAACACTTACAAACTTGGAGGGAAAATTGGCTGAGATTTTGCCAAAAATAGCAAATAACCATTGGAGCATCATTGCTATAATTTGGCAAAATAACACTATTCATTGCCAAATTATAGCAATAGCAATAGCAATAGCATTATAGCAATAATGGTTGGAGATGCTCTTAAACATATGATTGGAAAGAGAAGACCTAAGGCAAAGGTTGTCAATTACACTTCATATTTTGGGGAAGTTCAAATTAGGTCTCAAGTATTCTATTGGATATGTTCAAATCAGGTTTCGAATGACAAAATTAGTGAATTCAAAACTCAAATTTTGTTTGTTTTAGACAAATAGAGTAAAATCAAACCATGTCGAATAAAGAAAGGAAAACTTAGTTTTATTAAGATGAAAGTAATTACATCAGAAAGCCTTTCTGGCTACATATTCAATTTCATAAAAATAAGGAATAGAGAAAATGACAAGGTCATAGAATTTGTTCCAACTGTGGTCAACGAATTTTTGTTCCTTTTTTATTCTATCTTTTATCCTCTCCAAGCTAGGTTGCTGAAGCTAATATGCTCTTATTTGATAAAAAAGTTATTCAGCTTTTATTTCAAACTTTGTTTCCTTCAATCCTTGTTCCATCTCAGCCATATCCAAGTCATCCCAGTATGCCGAGTCTTTTTTCTTGAAATCATTATATTCATCGATAAGATTCTCTACTTCATACTGGGTGTAAATTCGACGGACTGAGATTTGTCCAAAGATTGAGTGGTAGCCAAAGAAGTTTTGTGCCAATGAAGAAGCAGTGGGAGTTGATCCAAAAACATCTAAAGCTTTGCTTGGGTAATGGGGTTGAGGACATGACCCCGGGTCATAACGTCACAAGCTCGTCGAAAGTTCTTAAAAGGAACATCACCCTCAAGAACATTGAAGGGCCAGTGAGAAAAGGCCGCAAGCAGAAGCTGAGCTTGATATCATTCAAATATAATGAGGGGAGCTAGAGGTTTATAGGAAGAAAGAAACTGATTCTCAAAGAGAGTAAGTCTCAGTTCTTCCATCCATTGAGGGTTTTGAAAAAGAGGAGGCGTAGGAGGATCCATCTCAAAAGAAAAAGGGAACTGGAGGTTGTTTACACATTCAAGCCAGTTAGAAGAGCAAAATTTCGCGCTCTGGGCTAAGAATGACGGGTTGTACCCTTGTACTTCCTCTGGATGACGAGTGGCTTGCACTATCTTCGTCGGAATGGAGGATGTATACGATGCTATAAGTAAGTTGTCTTCTAAACTGCGTCGATGATCGATGGATACATACGGGTAAACCATCGAGCTCTGAGCGAAAGAAAGGAAAGATAGAAGATCAACGAATTCGACGAATCGATGATTAATTCGCTCTCTCAACTTGGATTTCTCAGGTTATGGCCAGTTTCCCCAGCCAGAAGTCTTAAAAGAAGAAGAAGAAGTCGCAGCCTCATCCCACACAGAAGGTTTTGGGTTAGAAAAGAGCTTCCAATATCCATGTTCGGGTTAAAGAATTATGAACAATAGGTTCGTAATCCAAAGGTTGATGGTTTACAAAAGCTTTCATGACTTGAATATATAGAGATGGATAGGTGTGGCTAATAAATGTATGAAAATTATTTCGAGGGCGAACTACATTATCTAACAACTCCTTGTATGCTTGATCTATGTCAAAGAAGGTTTGTTTGGCCATGCGAGCTGTATCGGTCTTTTCGAATGCTCAGATAGTGGGAAACGTTCAAGGAATAAAAAAGAATTTAATGCAGTTGATTACAGTTCTAAGAAGATGCAAAACCCATGCACGTCCTGGGACTTAGTAAAGTGCTTCGATCCACTAATATCACCAAGTATGTGGTATATTAGTGCGGGGGTTAATGTTGGTTGTATAATTTGTATAAGCCAATTGCAAATTGACATGTGGCATGAAAAGGGCAATTTGCAGAGGCAATATAAGTTGCCAACCATAATCAGACACGTGTCAAACCATACAGGTAATAATGGGTCTGCGTAACACTGGAATAATCAAAGGATATAAGGTGATGTGGCCTAACGGTTATTCACAAGGTCCAAATTCAAAATCAAGAGGGAAACTTAACTGCAAACATGGTGTAGTGGGACTGACTGTGAGCAAGCATGATCAGCGATCATGGAGGGACATTTCGACGGTTAGAAGTCCACTTCGACGGTTATCATTGAGAAATATAAATAGTAGAGAAAGCCCCAGAAAGGAGGATCCAGACTCATCAAAAAAATCAGTTTTATCTACTTTATTTTCCTTCCAGTTTTTACAGTTCTTTATATTTTTGTACTTCAAATTCCTGTATTGCACTTCATTCATAGGAGTAGTTTCAAATAACTTATTGTTGTAAACCTCTACGAGGCTAGGTCAGATCATTGTAAGTTTTTCATTTTTACTTAATGAAATGCTACAATTATTCTCCACTTAATTGTTGTTTACTAAATTCTACTAAACAAGCCACCAGTAAAAGTCCTCTTCATTGAGGCTGAAAGAACTAAAACACAATCGTCTGATAATTGGTTGGCAATTAATCTTCTGTAAGGACTAATTGATCCTTACTGGCACGTTTAAAATTATAATACTAATCTTCAAAAGCCAAAAAGCTAACATATATTTTTGGCACGCCCAGTGGGACTTGTTGAAATGGCTAGACGTAGGAGATAAGGAGAAAATGAACGCCTAGAAGAAGGTGTGGAAGGAGAGGTAGAGATACCTGATCTAGAGGATAATGTGATAACACATCCTATGGAAGCACCTATCTCATTAGAACCTATGGTCGAACAGACCAGTAATGCAGAATATACACCACGTGTCCAGAATAGTGCACAAGACCATGGAATTGGACCATCCACTGTTCCATCTGCTCAGCCAATGAATCTGTAGAGAGGCCTAGTAGATACCATGGGACAGCAGTTAATGAACACAATGGAAAGATGGACAATATCCTTTATGGATCGGATGAATACCCATCAACCAACTAACACAAGGCGTATGAAGGAAATTTCAAATATCCCTCAATAAAGATTGGCTAGAGATATACATAATTTTACAATAGTCTTTGGCAATAAGATTTTTCCCAAAATGTTTTGGTGAGTCTTGGGTAATAATGGATTATAAATTTTTATCTTCAGAATTTTCAAAATTTTATTTCGCCAATTCACCTTGTAAGTCTATCAACATAATGCATTGCATGTATAGATATAGGACCTAAAATATTTAATAAAATAACAAAATTAATCATAACATTAGAAAAACTACATAATATGTGAAGGATGTGAAGGGAAAAAAAAACCAGTGAAATATTTTGAGGATAATGATCATTCAAAATTAGACTAATTTATCATGCCTGAAACCATTCTAAAACCTTTTAGGTCACTTGCACATAAAATCCTACACTAATCACAGACTTTATTGTATATACATTTGTTTTCATGGCGGATGCGAAACGTCTGTTCATTTACATTCTTTCTCAACTCTGTCCTACCTTTCTGATGCTGTCATGGACCACAATTTGAATTCAAAACTAAATTTGTCAATTATGTTTGTTAAAACTCAAAAAAATTTAAAATAAATAATTTTCATTAATTTGATTCAAATTGTGTGTATATGTAAGCAAAAAATGAGTCGAACAGAGAGTTGAGACAAAAAATGTGAATTAGAGAATCCCATACCTTTCATGGCCCCTCATATTTCCAACATGGTCCCCCTTCTCTCCGTAACATGCCATGTTCAAACTCTACTCCAATCCCCTTTTCATTGTTGTCAAAACATTAATTAGGTTGTACAAGCATCATAAAAGAAATTCAACTAATTTGTAGGTATTATTATATTATCAAAATCATAATGTCAAAGTGGTTAAATTAGTAGAATACTGCTTTTCAATTGAATATTAAATTGGGGATATAAATTGTTCTTTTATTTCACATGTATCAGGTAATTATTGATTTAATGTATTCGGACAGTCTTAATGGGAGTAAGAAATGTGGCATTTAACCATTGGTACACCCTATGAGATTGATCAATGGGGACAATTCAATTAGTTTAATAATCGATCAAAATTACATTAGTCCAATTAGGGATGGCAATTACTCTATATCTCGCTCTCTGTTTTGTATCTCTCGCCTATCTCATGTGGGTTTTTCTATCCTAGATAAGCAGTGCAAGGATGTATTTTTTTCTTTCCGTCTCATTCTATCTCTTGTTTGCTCTGATTATATTAATTAAATATATTCATATATAATTTAATTTAAAATTTCCAACCCATTTATTTTTTTCTTCCTTTTTTAAGTGTAAGAGTCATAAGAAAATGAACTATCATTGAGTCAACAAGTATTGAATAATTGGAAGCAATTTGAATCCACATTTGTAAGTTTTGAGAGCCCTTTGACTTTCTCAAGAGAGTAGTTTGCGAAGTGGAAACCATCATACATGTTG